CCCCGGCCCCGCCCGCGCCAGCCCCCACACAGACCTGTGGGTTAGTCGCCCAGCGGCCTTCACTGGGCGCCCCCACCCCGCGGCCACCACAGCGTTCCTTCTGAAGTCCCGGGACAGGGTTCCCACGGGAGGGGGGCATCCAGGGCCCCCTGGCCGGCCGCGGGTGCAGCGGCTGGGCCGGGCCCTGGGGGTGCTGCCCCATCACCGGTCCGCAGGCTGCCGTGCTCCACGGGCACTGTGGGGAGGCGGGCTGATAAGCACAGCCGGGCACTTATCGGCCCCCACAGGGCCGGGAGGTGTCCAGGTGCCACGCTGGCCGCCGCAGCATCTGGATGTGCTCAGCCGGGGCTCCAGGCTCAGTGCTGACGCTTCTGGGGGACACACAAGCTGTGACTCAGCAGCCAGGGCAGGGTCGGGGGCACGGCTGTCTGGCTTTGGGGTGAGGATGGGGGAGGAGCATGGGGGGGTGCCCGGAGCAGAACAACACGCGGCCTCCAGTTCCGGGGTTCCCCGGCCAAGTCCCGATTCGGCCCCCGCGGCTGACGCCCGGCCTTGGTTTGCCGTCTGTGAAGCGGGGGGCAGCGCGTCTCGCAGGTCTGGGGAGCAGGAAAGAGGCGCACCGACGTTGCCCCGGCAGTGGGGGAAGCGGGCCTTCCTCCTCATGGGGACCCCGAGAAGCCACAGGCAGTGGGTTCCGGGGTGCGGGTCGACTCAGCCCACCTCTGCAGCGGGCCTGGCGCCCGCACGCTCAGCCCTCCCCAGGCCTGGTGTGCTCCGGTCACCACCTTCGGCCCCAGCGCCGGCCAGCACAGCGGTCACCTCGCTTGTGGGGGGTGGTCACGGCCCGGTCACCGTCCAGGACAGGCGGTGCCGACGGGCCAGAGCCAGGCGGGCCGAGCCACGCCAGGCCCCTCGTCAGCCGTGCCCACATGGCCACCTGCCCGGGGAGGCGCGGGCCGGACAGCCCCGCCAAGGCTTCACGTCCAGCTTCCAGGGGCCAACACGGCCGGGCCCACGGCAGCCAGACCGCGCCAGCGTCGGGCACCTCCAGCCTGGCCACCTCCCAGCCGCAGCCCCCCGCCGCTCTGCGCGGAGCGTCACCACCCTTCCCGAAGGGCTCCTGAAAGACAGGGCCCGGCCCGCAGACCAGCACGCGTCCCTCTGGGGGAGTCCGCCCCTCGCCGTCCCCCAGGACGGCCGGCCAGCGCACCTGGCGCCAGGTCCCGCGCCGCCCGCTCACCGGGCCTGCGCACGTCCGGGGACGGACACGCCAGCACCCCCACACCGAGCCAGGAGCCCGGGGGCAGCGAGGCCCGGGCAGAGGCGCGGACGGGGCGCAGGGGCAACCAGCTGCCTCTGGGGTGACGGGGCCGGGGAGCCACGCGGTCGGTCCCACGCTGTTCCCCGAGGTGCCGTGGCGAGCCAGAGGAGCCTGAGCCCTCGCTGACCCGTCAGCGCCCCCGTGGGGCTTCTTTCACGTGAAGCGCGTGAACTTGCCACGAGCCACGGACTACCGTTACTTTGAATTTTCCGCCGCGGGGCCCCCAGGCTGCGCGCGCCCAGTCTGGGAGCCAGCACAGGCTTCAGCAAGGGGGCCACCAGCGCGCAGCCTCAAGCCCAGGGCTGGCTTCGGGCTCGGGGTCAAGGCCCCGCACCCCGAGACCCCGTCCCAGCCGCGCCCCTGTGCCGGCGGCTTCCTCCTCTCCGCGCGCACCACGGCCCCGCTCCCTGCCTTCAGCGTGGCTCCTCGGCAGAGGGCAGCTTCTGCCGGTCCAGCAGTCCCAGCACCGACTCTCCCTGCCCAAAGTGGGTCGCACGCCCAGCCCCGACCCGCCGGAGCAGCAGCGCCCCAGCCGGCATCCGGGGGGCCACCCAAGAAAGGGGTGAACCCGGGAGTCAGGGCCCGCGGGCGCCCCCCAGGAACCCACCTTACCCCAAGGAAGAACTGAGCCCCAGTGGGCCCCCAGCTGCCCCTGGGCAGCGACACGGAGGTGACCCTGTGTGGCTCCCACACACCCGGGCACCCTGGGGCGGGGAGGCTCAGAGGAGCCTCCCTGGGCTGCACAGCCCCTCCCGGAGGGCTTCCCCACGCCCGCAGCCACGCTCCCGCCCATGCAGGCCACGTGGCCTCCGCCTGGCCTGGCCTCCCGGCCTGCCTCCTGGCAGCTCGGGGGCAGCTGCTCGCCGTGGCCCTCATTGCCCGTGTCCACTTCCGGGCGGAGCAAACGGCTGCGCCTGCAGGGTTTCGGGGCAGCCAGGCTGCGGCAGGGCCCCCGCTGCGCCCCCCGCCACTGGACGGCCCGTTTGCTCCCCTGGGAAGAGGGAGCGGGCCGGGCTCAGTCCTGTGCCGGCTGCGCCTTCTGCCCGCCTTTGCTGCCCCGCCCACCCCTCCTCGCTGGTGCCCGCAGGGGCTGCCCAGGCCCCCTCACACCTCGGGCGGCCACCGCCGACCCGGCCCCTGTGCTCCTGCCCCAGCCCGCCCGGGCCTGTCCCTCCAGGGGCCGGCAGGGCCACCCGTGCCCGCTCCAAGGCCCAAGCGCATAGGTGGCCTGGTCCTGCACGCGAGCCCACGCGGCCACGACGGCGAGCCCACACGGCCATGATGGCGAGCCCACGCGGCCACGACGGCGAGCCCACACGGCCACGATGGCGAGTCCACGCGGCCACGACGGCGAGCCCACACGGCCACGACGGCGAGTCCACGCGGCCACGACGGCGAGCCCACGCGGCCACGACGGCGAGCCCTGGCGCCCCGTGGCCTGTCCCCGGGGCGTGAGGCCGTGCACACCACCCGGCCTGTGTCGGTGCACCTGTGTGTGTGCGTGTGTGGAGTCTGTTCCTGCGCGTGCACGAACACGCGTGTGCACACGTGCGCCTGACTCCCTGGGAGCGCAGGGCCAAGACGCTGCAGGCCAGGCTAGACAGGCCCGAGGCACCGGCCGCACAGCCCTCGGGGCCGCCGGGGAGGCGGAGGGCCTGGCCAGGACTGCCCACGGGGCCGCGCCCTTCCCCTGCAGGCCGCTGCCCCCAGGCCCGGGCGGTGGGCGCGTCAGAGCACCTGTCTGCCCGGGGTGTCGGCCCGGGCACGCACCGGGCAGGAGTCCTCTGGCCCCTGCGGTGGTCCGGGCAGCGGCAGATGTCGCCCCAGGCCTCTGCGCGGTGCGGTGACTTCAGTTCTCTGGTCCTGGGTCTGCTGCTGCCTGCACCTCAATCCAGGGACCCGCAAGGATGTTTCTGAGGCCTCCACGCCGGTCCCAGAGGCTGCCACCGGCTGATAGCGACAGGAAACTCCTGGCCTGCAGATAACCCTGGCAGCACCCACACCCCGCCCGGTCGCCCAAGTCCTTATCGGCTGCAGCAAACGTGTCCCGAGTCGGGAGCCTCACACTGGCCTCCCTGGCTCTCCAGGGTTTGCAAACCAAGACCCAGCGGGTGAACGGGGGACACGGGGCCAGTAAGAGCAGAAGCTGCCCGGCACCGTCTCGCCTGACTGGACCCTGGAGCCGACCCCGCTCGGCCGGAGGACATGACTGCCCAGAGTGGGGCAGGGCGCCACTCGGTACCTGACACCCGCAAGGCCCCCAAGCACACGCGAGCCCCCCCCCGGGGCCGTATCCCCTGCTCCAGGCTCAGGGTCTCCCTCACCATCACACTGTGCTGAGCCTATGGGGGTCGGCGGGGGGGCGAGTGCACGGGACTGCGCCCCCCGGGTGTCTCGGCTCCACCCTCCGTCCCGACCCTCCCCGTCGGCCCAGCCCGCTCCAGGCCCCAGGCCTGGCCCCAGCACCCGCCCCAGGGCCTTTGCGCTGCCTCCTGCTGCCGGGCCCCGCTTGTCCTTGGGGCTGAGCAGCACCTGCTTGCGTGTCTGCCGTGTCTCCGGTCCAGTCGCGGACCTGGCCGGCTCTGCCGTGCGACGGGACGGCGCCAGGACCCGCGTCACCGGGTCACATTCCCAGGAACCAGTGAACGAGCTGGAGCGACGCTCTGCAGCTGGGCACCGAGGGGGCCAGGGCTTGCCCGGCACCGAGCTGCGGGACCAGCGAGGTTCCGGGAGGGGCTGGGACCTCCTGCTGCGGACGGAGACCCCCAGCTCCGACCTGGGCTCGCCGGCCGTGGCGCCCCAGAAGGGCCTTCCCTTCTCTTGGCAGAGACCCGGGCCTTGGGGCTCAGGCGGCTGCAGCCCCAGCGTTTGCCCGGGCTGGGCGAGAGGCGCCCGAGCAGGGCTCAGTCCTCCCTGCCTCAGTGGGGTGCTGTCTGCTCTGTCACTGGACCCCGTGGCGCCCCACGAGGTGGGGAACGTGAGCGGCAGTGGGGCCTGTCCCCCCGGGACTCCCCACGATAGTCCTGGAGGAGAAGATTCCCACTTGCGGAGAAAAATAGATCTAACTTCCTTAAAGAAAACAAGTTTTATTTTTATACCAGAAATTCCTAATAAAAATATTATTATAATAATTAGCTACCTTCATCTCCTGACCCCGCACCCAGTGGCCTGCCCCTGAGAACCCCCATTCCCTGAGGTAGGTCTAAAAGTGACCCCCGCGCCCCTAACCTCCGGGCCCGCCCCCACTCCCTCCACATGCCCCTCCAGGAACCGCCTGGAGGCCTGGCCAGCCTCTCCCCTCCCCTCCCCACGGAGCCCCGGGGCGGGGGCACGGCTGGGCACGTGCAGCCAGCAGGGTGCCCGGGGTCGTGGGCTCCTGCCTGCCTGGCACTCTCCCCCTCAGCCCGGAGCGGGGCCGGGGCCGCCCCACACCCTCTCGGGAGCAGGGGCCCCTCGTCACCAGAAACACGGGCAGAGCAGTCTCGGGGGCTGGGGCAGTCTCCCACAGAGGGACCTCCCAAGTGCAGACCAGGTGTGGGGGGCGGGGTGGGAGCCTCCACTGAGTTCTGACTGCGCCTTCGTAGCAAAACGGTAATAGTAAGAAAGCGGGCGGCGTCCGCGGCTGCACCCCGCCGGCCCGGCCAGGGACTGGAG